GTGTGACTGTGGAGTGTGACTGTCGCTGAAAGTGCGACACTCGGCAAAGTGCGGCACTTTACCCATTTGCCACACTTCCTGCGTTGATTGTGAACAAAGTGTGGCATTTTTGCCTTCAGCGACACAAAGTGCGACACTCGAAAGTGCGACACTTGACTGTCGCACTCGGTGATTGTGAACACGGCTTTAGGGAAAACCCAAGACGGCCCGGAGCCCGACTGGCTGTCACAATCCTTTGACCATTATCAACTTGACTAACCCGGGGCACAAAAACTGCAACATTAACAAGCTCTAAGTCCACAGTCGGGCTCGCCATAGGCAGTCATACCTCAGTATTGACTAGCTCGTCCAAATGAGTACCCAGAAATGTCTGGCCACCACCGATGGCACTCTGTCGGCCGCTTTATGCTGTCCTTTATAGTGGTTGTTCCGATCCGGCTGTCTCGGTACCAGCCATTTTCTGCATCTAGTCGGCGGTAATCCGGACGTGCGTCGTCGATTGTGAACCGCATCCTGCTGAACCGTCCGTCTACGTCCATTAGATTCTGGTAAAACGTGAATACTGTCGGCTAGTTGGGATAGAATGCACTCTACGCATTAGAGAACGACTAAGCTGTAAATAGCTGAACAAACACTGCCCTCGGAAAACTGGGAACTACGTAGGTTTAGAAGGCGTTCTCTGCAGCGACGAGCAGTATAAACGTATCTGGCGTAGCACAAGCTACGATGTTAACAAATGGTATGCGCAGGCGGGGTCGAGACTAGACATCGGGACTGGCCACCCGTACCCTACGCGTACCCGTACTGGGTACCCCCGTACCGTGTCCGTACCCGTAAAGACCCCTCCCGTACCGTAGCCGTACCCGTATTTTACGGCTACGGGTATGGGTGCGGCCCGTAGTACGTTACCGCTCCCGATCTCTAGTCGATCGGGAGCGGCGACGACGACGATCTCCTCCAAGAAGCTGCGGCAAACATCGTCGCTGCGGGTGCCGCTGGACAACAGAATGAAGGACGCAGTGAACGGCTCGTCCTGACTGGCAGAACGATCGTCGAGCAAACTCGGTGTGGGATTGGTAAAGTGGCCTATAACGCAGGGTCCCGCTAACCAACACGCAGGCACCCACTGCTGAGGTCGGGGAATGCCCCGTAAAGCGGTCTGCTGATGGTCCCCATGATCATGCCGGGTAAGCTCAAGAAGCGCAAGGCCGTACGCGAACCCGGAATCGCCTGCGGAACCGTTCAACCCAAGTCAAGCGCAACATACTTCCGGGAACCTTCGACGCACCGGGTCCCCCAGCATGACGGTCGTCGTCGCATCACCTTGCTGGCTCTACGCCCGGCCTAGCAAGCCTCGTAAGAGTATCTCCTGCTACGAACGCCAATAACGAGAGCTCGGAAGCGACCGCGGCGAGTGGACGAGCAGCACTACGACCCGTGGGAGTGGAAGAGCTTGACGACAAAATGAAGGACAAACGGTGCTGCTCCAACAAGCTCCGCTTCGCGACGTTCAACTGTGGACAGAGCGGAGTAGGAGGGACCGACAACTTAAACCCCAACGGATATCGAACCTGCGAGCTGATGGAAGCGCTGGAAAAAGTCAAATTCGACATCGTGGGCCTCAGCGAAACGCACGCTAAAGAAGAGCGCCACTCCAAGTGGAAGCACGGCGAACTCAGAGGAAGCGAACTGCACATCGGCGCAGCAGATGGCCTCATAGGCGGCGTCGGCTTCATCGTGAACGCAAAGCTCTCGCCCAGGATCCACTCCGTCGACGTTAGCTCACCACGTGTCGGAGTGCTGAAGGTCAAGCTCGGAAGACGACATCTCCTGACGGTCATCCAGTGCTACGCACCACACAGCGGCTACGATGATGAAGAAGTCGAGTCCTTCTACGCCGAAGTTGAAGAACACCTGACGGCTCAACGAGGACCGGTGGTCGTGCTGGGAGACTTCAATGCAAGAATCGGCCCAAAGGAACCGGACGAGTTATACGTCGGACGACACAGTGCGGAGCAGCGCAACGATGCGGGCACGCGCCTGGCCGCCTTCGCAGAAGCTCGGAAGCTTTACGTCGCCAATACGCTGTTCGAGAAGCCCCTCCTCAAACGATGGACGTGGCAATCGTCAGACCTACGGACAAAAAGCGAGCTAGACTACGTCCTGTACGGCGACAGAAAGGGCATCGAGAACCTGGAAGTCCTCACCCAGTTCAATGCCAGAAGCGACCACCGACTAGTGCGAGCGACGATACGTGTCGACATGAAGAAGATCAGAAAAGACTCGTTCCTCAAGAGACCACGCCAGCCAGCTGAACTGGACAAGGCAAAGTTCCAGAAGCTCGTCAAGGAAGCAGACTGGAGCAACAGCGGTGGACGGATGATGGAACAATACGAGCAGCTACTACAGACGCTGACCCAGTGCACAGCGGATGCCGGCATCAGGAAGGAGAGTACACGTCACACGTGGAAAACTCCTGAAACAGCTGACCTTCTGAAACAACTACAGCAGGCCAAGTCACGCGGAGACTCGGAAGAAGCAAAACGCCTTTCGAAGCTGTGTCGGGCGAAAGTCGCGGAAGACTACGAGAACTACCGCAACAGCCGTCTTCTGCAAACAGCCGAGAAACGAAAGAGCCTGAAGAAGTGCAGAAGGGATCTAGCCCAGTCGCAACTCATAACGGGCGCCCTCGTGGACGACAACGGTAACCCCCAGACCGAGCGCGAAGCCGTCGAAGAAATCTGCCGCAACTTCTACACAAAGCTTTTTGAAAGCAAGGTCGACGTGCCGAGACAGCGAAGACCCGACGCCAGCCCGGAACCGGAGGTCCCTCCAGTAACGGTGGACGAGGTCGATGCGGCGCTCCGTACGATGAAAAACGGCAAGGCCCCAGGACCGGACGGCGTGAGAGCAGAAATGCTTAAAGCGGGCGGACCTACGCTTTGGAAACAACTCGCACGACTCTTCACTCAGTGCCTTCGAAAGAAAAAGATCCCACCCCAGTGGAAGGAATCCACGACAGTGCTCCTATACAAAAAGGGCGACACGAAGAACCTAAAGAACTACAGGCCGATCTGCCTCCTGTCGGTGGTATACAAGCTCTTCACGAAGGTGCTGACGCGACGAATTACGGATGACCTGGACCAAGAGCAACCGGTGGAACAGGCTGGTTTTCGTCAGGGCTACTGCACCCTCGACCACCTGCAAACGGTGAACCAGATCCAGGAGAAGGCGCGTGAGAAGGGCCTACGGCAGTACCTTGTCTTTGTGGATTATGAGAAGGCGTTCGATACGGTGGAGACAAACGCGGTGCTGAACGCACTAGAAGCCCAAGGCGTTCACCGAAGGTACATCGACATCCTCGAAGACATCTACGAGGAGTGCGACACCCAAATAACGCTCTTCGACAAGTCGATCAAAATCCCCATTCGTCGCGGAGTCCGCCAAGGCGACACGATCAGCCCTAAGCTGTTCACAGCTGCACTAGAGATGATCTTCCGGGAGCTGAACTGGGACAGTAGAAGAAGCGCAGGCATCAGTATCGACGGCAGACGCCTCACGCACCTACGTTTTGCGGATGACATCGTCCTCGTGGGCAATTCTCGAGCAGATGTTCAGCAACGACTGAAAGAGCTAAACGAGAAGAGCAATACTGTTGGACTGCGGATCAACAAAGAGAAGACGGAGTGGTTCGAATACTTCGAAACCAACGAACGGATCTACCTCGAAGGCGAAGAAATCCGCAGAACGAAGAAGTACGTGTACCTTGGTCAGCAGCTCACGGAAGACCACAGCGCCAACATGGACGGCGAAATCGGACGCAGACGCAAAGCAGCATGGCTCAGCTTCAACAACATACAGGAAGTGCTGAAGAAGATGAGCGACACT